GAAACATGTTCATGCACTCGTTTCATGATGATGAAACATATTCATTTTCAAGTTCATGCACTCGTTTCATGATGATGAAACATATCCATTTTCAAGTTTCATGGTGATCAATGTTGCATTGTGTGTGATGATGATCCGTGTATTCGGATACTAGACATTGAAACGAGTTCATTTACAAATGTAACGTGTGCATGTCCCTGAAACGGGTTCATAATGTAATTGAACAGTTAGTCATGAAACACTTTAAGACATAAACAATGATGCTGGAGGTGAATGATTAAGTAGATGAAATGCTAAATGAAACCGGTGCATATACAAAATCGATTCATCATTGCAAAATATGAATGAGTTTCAATATCAAATGAGGATAATGAAACTCGATATTGCAAAATCATAATATTTAATAAGCGTATTAAACAATGAAATATGATCATTTATTTTAATTTTTTATGAAATTATTTATTATATATTAGTGAATATGTTGTGTTTTGATTTTGATATAACTTATTGATGGATATTATTTTAAAAAATGTTAACATTAAAATAGTATATTACTTCACAAAGTGAATCAATTTCATTAATATTATAATTTACCTGATATGGTTGCCTTGAATAAAAAATACTATGAATTAAATTTAAATGCATAGACATTAATGTTACCTTTGTTTACCGATTCTACCCTTATTGATGAAATAAAATAAATATTAATTATTTTTTAATTTTTTATTTCCTAAAATAAAGTAATGTAATCTTAGCCATTGATCAAAAAAATGAATGGATGAGATTGGTTTACATGGTTTTTACAAATGGGTCAAGTTTTTATTTGAACGCTTCTCTCTCTCTCTCTCTCTCTCTCTCTCTCTCTATATATATATATATATATATAACTCTTAAATTTTCAACAAAATTATGTCTTACTTGCATTTAAAGTCATGGTTTTTCTGGATTATGAATACATTTAAAGAGAATGGACTCATTTATACTATATTATAAAACATTTGATAAATACTTTTAAAAACTTTTTTTTATGTATGAAATATTGTTTATTAATGCATACAGCAGCGAACTTAGTATGTAAAAGGTGGGGGGAAGGGCCCCCATTAAAAAATAAAGAAAAGGAATTTTCCTAGGTTAAAAGTTGTCTTTTTTACTTTCTACCATGGTTCTCCTCGGTAATTTCTTGTTAGGACCCCCCACCAACTAAAGAAAGTATCTCGAAATCAACCAAAAGATGGAAAAAAACCCTCGAAATCGATAAAAAAAAACCCTTAAAAAGTCCCTCGAAATAATCCAAAAAAACTTCAAAAATCTTTTGGAATGATGGAATTAGGCTAAAAACACAACGGACGACTTTGTGGGTGTTTAAGCTACCTTAAAGATGCCCCCACTAGACCAAAATCCTGGATCCGTCACTAGATGCATATTATTTAAAATTCAAGATTACAAGTAAATTGTGCGTAAGTACAACTTATTAAAGCTTTATGTTTGAATTCGTGTAACTAACTACAAATAAATATAATCAAATAGATGATAAACATCTCATTTTAAATATAAAAAATCTAAAATATAATTAGAATAATTATTGACTTCTAACAAAATACTTAATTATTATATTTATAAAAATAGTTATATTATTAAACCAAAAATTAAAAAAAATGAATGAAAGAAATACACAGAAAAAAGAGAAATCTTAAATAGTTAGTTTGGTACTAATATCAATATATTTTTTTCAATTCTTTATGATGTCTTCGTATTTATATCTTATTTAAAAATAAAAACATTATCGCTTTTTAAAAACCATATAAAACAGTATTATAACATTTACTGAGACAAAAAAAACACAAAATATTAAAATCAAGATGAATCATGTAGGATTGTATGAATACCCTTATAGTATAATTAAATACAGTTAGGTTTGATTATTATTTTAACACTCCTGGTTCTTATTAATAAAAAATGATAAATTGATTATTAAATAAAAAGAAATTAAAAAATGTAAGTTATAATTGCATGTCCCAAGTCAAAGGTTTATAATTTTATTTGGTGGAAGGGGGGAAGAGTTGTTTGGAGCAAAAGAATCCAAAACCGTCGATCAAAACCTGCCACCGGACAAAAACGATGCAGTACTTGTTCACTCATCCAATCTGGGTTTGCCGATGAAAACCAAGTTTCACAATCATCAACACCCATAAATGTATATGTATATACCCAACACAATTTGAATACGGATTACAACAACAACATCTAAGATCTCTGCAATTCCATGGCCGATACAAGCCATCAGAGGTTTCCCTTATGGATCTTCCTTTTTCTTCTGCTATCAATCCATGGATACTCCTTCTACCTCCCTGGTGTCGCTCCCCAGGATTTTTTCAAGGCAAGTAAACCTTTTCTTCTTCTTCATACTTTCATATATGTATGCGTGCTTATTGATTTTAAGATGATTGTTTGTGTTTGTTATAGCTTGTGATTGCAATTGCCTTCTGTTCATTAAGGTTTCTCCTAATCATTTCGATTCCAATGTAGTTCTTGAAGAATATGATATCATGTTACTTCATTTTGTGATTAGGTTTCAAATCAGCTCAATCGCTGCCATTTGGTTACATCTAGTAGTCTTCGATTTTAACATTATGGTTGCCAGTCTTTATACTCCCTCATCGGCTACCATTTTTCCTTTCATACTAGTGGAATGGAACCCATCTTTTCTCATTTTTTTAGAGAGTAATTTCTAGCATAATTTCACACGGTATCAGGGTTAATGTCGAATACTCTAGGGACTCGAATCAATCTGTATTTTAGCATGCCCATCTAGCCTGCGTTGGAGGGTGTTTGTTAGAATCCCCAAACAGCTATTAGACCATTTTTTCCTCGATATACATTGGAACCTCCCTTTCTCCTCGATAGCTTTTTTGGAGAGTAATGATATTTCCTAGTTGATCTTGATTAGCATGCATTGATGTGCCCTGAAATCAATTGGTAAAATGTCCAAACACCAGAACAATTGGAGCAATCTTTCATACAAATGTAATCTGTTGATGATGTATATTTCAGGGGGATGTCTTGAAGGTAAAAGTAAACAAACTGTCTTCCACAAAGACCCAACTCCCTTATTCTTACTATTCCATCCCTTATTGTCGCCCACAAGAAATAGTTGACAGTGCCGAGAATCTTGGGGAAGTTCTTCGTGGTGATCGTATAGAAAATTCTCCTTATGAGGTAAACCGGAAGTTCTTTGAGATCATCATTCACTTTTGCTTCTTGTTATGTTGTATCTGCAGTTCTTTACCCAAATTACTCTTTGCAGTTCCGAATGCGAGTGCCATGGATGTGCAATATCGTGTGTCGCATAACACTTAATGAGAAAACAGCCAGAGAATTTAAGGAGAAAATAGACGATGAGTATCGAGTCAACATGTGAGACACTTATTTTAGGAAATTTATAAAACTAACCCTATGTTTTCATCACATATTCGTTAACTTTCGAGCATTTTGAATAGGATATTGGACAATTTGCCTTTGGTTGTTCCTGTAACGAGGTTGGAACAGGACTCTCATGTCCTATATCAGCATGGATATCTTGTTGGTCGCAAAGTATGGTATGCGGGTGTAAGTCCCAAAAGCTTTTACTGTTTGCTTACTACAGCGAAATCAGTTTTGTGGCACACCATATACATCTAAATGTTCTAATAAGCTGTTTTATAGCACCAATCAATTGTGGGTCCCATGTAAAGGTGTTACAGTAAGTTAACTGGACTTCCGACATCCTAACAAGTTTTTTCAGGACAATTTTGAAATAAAGTGTCCTATTAGTCTATTTATATGGCATCATCTGAAAAAAAGAATGTCTTATAAAAATATGTGTTCATAGGACACTTCTCAAAAGTCTCATATGAAAAGCTAATAGGATACTCTATTCAAATGTGTCATAAAGAGCTTGTGAATATGCCCCAATACGTACTAACACCCCTTTGTAACATCGTTATGTAGGACGCACAATTGTTTTACTTAAGTTCGATAAAGCCGATTCTGTTGTATTGGTTTATCGGCAACTAAACAAATTTAAGTCTGAATTGGCTTGTTACCAACTGATTTATATCTGTAACTTGAGGCTTAACATCCTGCAGATGAAGGTAGAGAAGTATTTTATCAACAACCATTTAACATTCACAGTCAAGTTTCATAAGGACGAACAACTGGATTCTGCAAGAATTGTGGGATTTGAAGTTAAAGCTTTCAGGTGATAAAACTCATAAAGGTTACACACGGTCACTTTAATTTATTCTGTTGGTGGTCGGTTATGCAACTTTTGTTGTGTGTATCATAGTCTCACGTCTGCTAGATTGGACCATTTCTACCCTATATATATTGGAACCTGCCTTCTCTCCAAAAAGCTCTTTTAGAGAGTAATCTAATGGAGTTCCACATATTCTCACATGGTATCAAAGCCCTCTAGGGACTCGCCATTCTGGGGCAGTCTGAATTCGTCTAGCCCCTTCTCGACTCTTGGTTCCTGCCTAGACTTTGTTGGAGGAGGCATGTTATGAGTCCCAAAAGAGGCTCTTACGGACAATAATTTAACAGGGTTTCACATATTCTCACAGTGTCAAAATGTTTGTTTGATTCAGTGTTAAACATCAATACGATGGTGAATGGAGTGACGATACTCGCCTTACAACCTGTGACCCTCATGCGAAAAAGCTGGTCAACGGCTCTGACCTGCCACAAGAGGTTGAAGATAAGAAGGAAATCATCTTCACATATGATGTTGAGTTTCAGGTATACTTTGAGAGTAGAAATAGATGCACAAATGCAGGATTATTCATGGTTAATAACTTAATTCTCTACTAACTTCATTTGATCTGTAGGAAAGTGATGTTAAATGGGCATCCAGATGGGATACTTATCTTCTAATGGCTGATGATCAAATTCACTGGTTTTCAATCGTCAATTCTCTTATGATCGTTCTTTTTCTATCGGGAATGGTGGCAATGATCATGTTGAGAACACTTTACCGCGATATCTCCAAGTACAACCAATTGGAAACGCAAGAAGAAGCCCAAGAAGATACAGGTTGGAAGCTCCTCCATGGAGATGTTTTCCGCCCGCCTGTAAATTCTGATCTGTTATGTGTTTATGTCGGAACCGGTGTTCAGTTTTTCGGTATGATGCTGGCTGCCATGATCTTTGCTGTTCTTGGGTTTCTGTCGCCTTCAAACCGCGGTGGGCTCATGACCGCCCTGCTCCTACTCTGGGTCCTCATGGGCATATTTAGCGGCTATGCAACCGCCCGCCTTTACAAAACCTTCAAAGGGTCGGAATGGAAAACCATCACCCTCAAAACCGCCTTTATGTTCCCGGGAGTTGTGTTCGCCATTTTCTTTGTGCTAAATGGTCTGATTTGGGGCGAGAAATCTTCTGGAGCGGTGCCATTCGAAACCATGTTTGCTTTGGTGTTCTTATGGTTCTGTATCTCGGTTCCACTGGTGTTTGTGGGAGGTTATATCGCTTTCAAGAAGCCAACCATGGAAGATCCAGTGAAAAGCAATAAGATCCCGAGGCCAATTCCAGATCAATCATGGTATATGAGCTCAACTTTCTCGATCTTGATCGGTGGCATACTTCCATTCGGTGCAGTTTTCATTGAGCTCTTTTTCATCTTAACTTCAATATGGCTGCATCAGTTTTACTACATCTTTGGGTTCCTTTTCATCGTGTTCATCATCTTGCTGGTGACCTGTGCTGAGATCACGATCGTGTTATGCTATTTCCAGCTGTGTAGCGAAGACTATCGGTGGTGGTGGAGATCGTATCTTACATCGGGTTCATCGGCTCTTTACCTGTTTATATACGCGATTACATATTTCTTCACGAAGCTGAACATCACGAAGCCGGTTTCGGGTATATTGTACTTTGGGTATATGCTGATTGCATCGTATTCCTTCTTTGTTTTAACGGGTACGATTGGTTTCTGTGCTTGCTTCTGGTTCACTAGGCTTATTTACTCTTCTGTCAAGATCGATTAGACAAGTTGTTATACAAATTTGTTAATTGGGTTTAACATCAACAAATGATATTGATCTATCATTTTGGCTTCAATTCCATCTACAAAATCTTGTTTTTCTATTTTGTTCTGCTAGATTTGTAATGTGTGTTTTTTTTCATGGGATATCCAACCCGTTATTCGAGCCGACTAATCCCCGGACGACCATCTGCTTTGCAGATAGCCTGGAGTCATCGCATTTGAATCTCCACGGCCACAAGAGGATTTTTATTCCTCTTTGAATTTGAACCTGAAACCTCTTGGTACTTTTGATCTTTGGAGCCAAGCTCAAACCAATCAGACACGACATTGTGGTTTTTGTAATGTGTTTTAACTACAGAGGTCAGTGATTGAGGCCCAAAAGATAGGGTAGAATATTCATCCATCCCGGTTAATTTTACTAGTTCAATTGTTATAAAGATAACAATAACAAGATTGAGTGATTAAAGTGATTTTAAAAAACAAAAATAAAACCCTTATAACATCTCCGACCATCAAACAAACTTCATTTTTTTTNGTGATTTTAAAAAACAAAAATAAAACCCTTATAACATCTCCGACCATCAAACAAACTTCATTTTTTTTTTATGAAAATTCTATAATGATGTTGATATTAAGGACCAAAACGGTATAAGATTCCGTTAAAAAAACTGGGTTTTTACGAACAAAAAACTAGGGCTGCGACCGAGTTGTACACTCCCTTCCTTCAGCTGGCTTCGCCTTATCGATTCATCTCTTTTTTCGATGTAAAAGATAAATAAAAATTAAACCTTTAATTTAAAAATATTTGAAAAGAAAAATGAAAAACAGTGACACCCTCTCGAATTCTCGATACTGATTGGTAAACGCTATATGTATACATTCTTGTTCCCAAATGACACTTGAAAGGCCTCGTCTTCGATTCAACTATTTCGTTGTACTTTCTCGATCTTGACGAAAATCGGATCTTAATTTTATCGGCTATTTCACTTTGATCATCATCAATTTCTTGGTTTCTTCTCGCATGGCTCATGCTCTTGCTAAGGCCACTCTTGGCCTCACCCTTCCTGCTCATATCGATCCACTCAAGGTGTCTCTTCATCTTTATGTGTCTAATTACATCTTCACAGATCATTGAATAGGTTTTCTCACTGTATATGTGGAACCCTGTAATATTGTGTTATCTTCCTCAATCAACTGCCTTAACTTTTCTATATATTACGCTAACTTGATAACCTTCATTTATACGTAGTCGTTATTGAATTGCTTATAGTAGTTTTTGTAGCATGTTGCGAATTGAAATTTTGTTCTTTGTTTCTGGTGAAATTGTCTGGGTTACTTTTTGTGATCATGATTGAACGGAGTCATACATAGATGTAGGTTGAATATAATAAGCATATATGTAGTTTATTGGTCTGTTTTATTTACATTATTGGCAAAATTGGTGTCCAAAATTACCTCATATCCATAAATTGAAGGTATTGATTCAGTTTCATAAAATTCTTTCATGTTTTAAATATTTGACAAGTATTCATACATTTTACCTAAGCTATATGCTAAATTAGTTGTTGAAAGTTTCGTGAGATGGAGATAGTATGTTATCCGAAAACTAGGTGGTGGCGATAACTTCAGGATGAGTGTTGGTGTAAACTTATAAATTGAACTAATGGCTGATATTCTACATTATATCAATGAATTTGATGATTTTAGCTTATAATAACTGGGATTGTATGAACCTTGTAGTATCAGTCTAATCATTGCTTAGTAACATGTATATTCACTTCATTTTCTTTGGCGGGTATTTGCATCAATATTTAAAACTAAATCCTCTTTATTATAGCTTCCATTTACTCTATATATATATCAACACACGCTAAAATCTTACTGGAATCACTTGATCTTTTGTGCAATGTAGTTATGTACACCAATCGTTATCTTAAGTTGCATTGAATTAGGATCTCATATGTTTTGTGAGCACTTGTTTGTGTAACAGTAAAAAGTACATAGCTGTATGGTTTCATTGAATTGGGTTTTTCATGAAGTTTTTTTTCTCTATGAGCATGTGTTTGTATACCAAAAAAGAACAAAAGCATTTGTGGGTAATCTATCTAGCATTTGGTTTCCAGATGATGGATGATTGCTAGCTTATCGATGAACTTGATTTTGAAACATATAAAAGTTAAATTGGTCAAAATTTTGTAGCACTGATATAATCTTTTCTTACGTTCATGTATATGCACTTTCATATCGGATAAGTTAAATGGGGAAAATTTCGGATCACTTCAATTTTGTCTTTAGCATATGTATATGCACTTAAAGAGTATGGGGATTCATATTTTATAATAACAGCCTTATTTTTTTTGGATGGACAGTTTCACTTTGTAAAGAAGTGATGTGAATATGGTCTAGTATTAAATGGCCTAAATCACTCTTAAATTCGCTGCATGAAATATGAAATAAGATATCTTCTTAATTCCAATGAATGAAGGAAAATCTACTCTAGATTGAACTCTATATTATATCTTCTAGATGAGTAAAAGACTGAAGTCAACTCCGTCTAAAATTTCCTGCTTTATTTGTTAATCTGTACTTATTTGTTCTCAAATTCAGAATGTTCTTATGATCATTATGGTTTGGGCTATGATTATCAATCTATGATGAATTCTATGATAATTTGAATATGGTAAGATCACGTTAACATGAATCTCTTTATCACGTAAACTAATTTTTGTTCTTGTTTAAAATACGAAAGATCTCTTTCGTTGCGAAAGAGATCGATTTGGTAGAATGGAAGGGAGATATGCTTGCAGTGGGTGTCACTGAGAAAGACATGGTGAAAGATGTGAACTCAAAATTCCAAAATTCCATCTTGAAGAAACTAGATTCCCAACATGGTGGGCTATTGTTCGAAGTATCTAAAGAGGAAGATTTCACGGGAAAGGCTGGGCAGTCCGCTGTTCTTAGGCTTTCAGGTGTTGGACCCAAACGGGTCAGCTTATTTGGGCTTGGAAAATGCACCACTGGTTCAGCTACTTCAGCCTATCGCTGTCTTGGTGAATCTGTTGCCTCAGCAGTGAAAACCTATCAGGCAAACAATGCTGGCATCACTCTTGCTTCTTTTGAAGGCCTAACTTCTGAAATGAAGCTCACAGCTGTGTCAGCAATAGCAACTGGTAGATTTACCTTCCTATATCCTGCTTGTATTAGTACATAAGATAAGTTATTAGTGCTTTGAAGTTTGATCATGGTGTTCTATAATGTGCTAGGTATATCACTTGGAACGTATGAAGATAATAGATTTAAATCAGAGTCTAAGAAGCCTACTCTAAAATCTGTTGAGTTTCTTGGTTTTGGAGCCGGACCTGAGTTAGAGAAGAAACTCAAGTACACCGAGGATGTTTGCACAGGGGTAATTTTGGGAAAGGAGCTTGTAAATTCACCGGCCAATGTACTCACCCCTGGTTAGTCATCCTTTCTGCCCACTCTCTTCCACTATTTTTTTCTATTTGTGTAGGTAGGTGTCGGTTCCATAATGACCCATGCTAAAAACAGAAAAGTTGCCTAAACCTTCAAATGGACTCAAAAATCATGGTGGAAAGTTGATTTGGAGGTTATTTTGCTGATCTGTTGCCTTGGGCTAAGAAATGATATTTGAGCGGTGGTCCCTCAAGGTGTAGCTAGTTGGACTCATGCATATGATTCAGATAACTTGTTTAGGTTTCTGTTTAGTCGTCACAAAACCGTCTGAAATTTTAACAGGGCAGTTTCTGACATCCCATTCATATCGGCTGAGTAGGATTTAGGAGATTAGAAGTCTTTTGGTAATTACTAGTAATAACCTTGAGGGCCAGCTCAACCGGAAAATAAAGGCAAGGACTTGGGGCCACGGAGGATTTTCCTGGCTATCATCTTCAGGGTCGCATGGGATTAGTCGAGGTGCACGCAAGCTGGCCTGGACACCCATGTTTACCCAAAAAAACTAGTAATAACTTGTGACCATTTTTTATTTGATTTAAAGGTTATTGGGTAGTATGCTGCCTTGGCCTTGGGTCATTTAGTATGACTTTGCATACCTCATGTGATCTTCGACATTCCCTTTTAGGTCGAATATAATTTGTTATTTTTTTTTCTCTTTTCTAAATCAATTTGTGATGACTAATAAGTCACTCTTTTTTCTTTTTTCTTTTTTTTTTTTTCTTTTTTGTGGTTGTGTATATACCTCAGGGGTACTAGCACAAGAGGCTGAGAAGATTGCTTCGACGTATAGCAATGTTCTTACGGCAAAAATATTGGATACAGAACAATGCAAAGAGTTGAAGATGGGTTCCTATCTTGGTGTTGCTGCTGCTTCTGCAAATCCTCCAAAATTTATTCATTTGTGTTATAAACCTCCAAGTGGATCTGTCAAGAAGAAGTTGGCTTTAGTCGGGAAGGGACTAACTTTTGACAGGTAGTAATTTTGTTTTTTAAGTAAATGTGAAATCTCATTAATATCATTAGTGAAAGAAAATATTTATTTTCTAATAAAAATATGATTGAGCAAGAAAGAGTTTATGCAGCATGTGTATCAGCAGGAGATTAGTATTGAATTGTCACGGGAGTGTTCGACTATTAGTCAAATATCTAAAATGCCCTCCAATAAGAATAAGATAGAGGATCTTGAGCACCAAAAAACAACGTTATCTCTACCTTGTAATGATTGCTGATGGGCAAAAAGGTAAAAATGAATTTGCAATCTTACCCAGAAGGAAAATATTGCATTTATTTTGGACAACCCAAAAAGGAAAGTGTAGCATTATTTTTGGACAGATGAATATTTATTTAATCATGCCTTTTTACTTGGATAACTTCAATATTAGTTATTGAAATGGTCTTAATCTGTTAAAATTTTCTAATAAAGCAAGTTTGTCAAGGATGCAAATATGTGGCACCATTATCGGCGTTTCATTGTTACGATCATCATCTTCAGATGGTGTCTTTTTCGTATCTGTTTTAATTGTTATATATAATTGTGTAGTCATTGCTAACTTATGCCTTTTGGTGTAAAATAATACTATCTTTTTTGCTTGCAGTGGTGGCTACAATATTAAGACTGGACCTGGTTGTTCAATAGAGCTCATGAAATTTGATATGGGAGGCTCGGCAGCGGTTTTAGGTGCTGCAAAAGCTCTTGGTCAAATTAAACCGGCTGGAGTAGAGGTGACATTTGGTCATGCTTCCAAGTCAAAACATTTTGGTTTCTCTGTGTTTTTTTGTACATGCTTCAGTGATTTTCTGGACACCAATATGTGAACTTCAAAGAAGTTTTTGGAGCTGCAGATTGACTTAATATCCGAACGATACTGTCATTGCAGGTTCATTTTATTGTGGCTGCTTGTGAAAACATGATAAGTGGAACAGGAATGAGGCCTGGGGACATAGTGACGGCCTCAAATGGGAAAACAATTGAGGTACTTCCCCGGCTCTGTCATGAAACTCATTAGCATGGTAGGGACTAGGCTTTTCCTTTTGTTCTTTCTTTTGGTCTCCTACTGTTTGTGAACATCAAGATACCACTAGAAAGAATTTAAAGTTTTGAAGTTTGAACCCAAGTCTAGGTAATGGAACATTCCTCTTCTTTTGTAAAAATTCAATTACTTTTCTAGACAATCAAGTTGTTGTGGATCCTGTGTTATTTGTCCTTTGAAAAAAAGAAGACGAATTAGTTATTACTACCTCCGTCCAAAATACATGTCCGCTTTCAGAAGTAATGTCTGATTTTCAATTTTCCCCTTAATTATGAGATGGAGCAATTTATTACTTTCTCTATTATTAAAGGTAAAATTGTCAGTTTGTTGATTAAAAAGTGTAATAATTACACATTTCAAAAACCGTGTGCCTTTTGGGACAGAGGGAGTAATACGCATCCGGTAGCAATAAGAATTCAAGGAAATGAAGGGGTACTTGAAATCCATCTATGATGTATAAATGAACAACTTTCTTTAATCTACCTGCTTTAGGTAAACAATACTGATGCTGAGGGAAGGCTTACACTTGCTGATGCGTTGGTATATGCTTGTAACCAAGGTGTGGACAAGGTATAACCCTTTTTTCCCTGAAACACATTTTCAATTAAATTTGATTATTTTGTTAACATTAGTCAGGGATCGTGCGTTGCCTGATACTTGTGATGTAAAGTTTTCTTTTGGTGTCTCTTTGTTATTTAGATTAATCCCTTTTGAGAAACTCCTCTCATTTGACACTTTGCAGATAGTTGATTTGGCAACGTTGACAGGTGCTTGTGTTGTTGCTCTTGGACCCTCAATCGCAGGTATATGTTTTTCCTTTTCTGGGTAAAAACTATGCATTTGTGAGTACAATGTTGTCTAGTTCGAATGAGACTACAACATACAAAAAGGGTAGCTTGACATGTTGGTTAATGAGGGATTCTCCAAAAAAACCACAGGCGTGTTCACACCGAGTGATGAGCTGGCGAAGGAAGTGGTGGCAGCCTCGGAAGTTGCTGGAGAAAAGCTTTGGAGAATGCCAATGGAGGAAAGTTACTGGGAAAGTATGAAATCAGGTGTGGCTGATATGGTGAATACTGGCGGCCGACAGGGTGGTTCTATTCTTGCAGCTCTTTTCCTGAAGCAGGTATTTTGTTTGCCATCCTTATCTTCTTACTATAACAAAAAGTTTGAATGAAATTGAACAAGATTGTGGGTTGATGTCAGTTTGTGGATGAGAAAGTGCAATGGTTGCATATCGACATGGCTGGACCTGTGTGGAACGACAAGAAGAAAACAGCGACAGGGTTTGCCATTTCGACTTTGGTTGAATGGGTGCTGTCCAACTCTTCGTCTTGATGTTTATGAACTTGTAAGAATCGAATAAGAAATATGGGAGATTGAGAAAGATTTGTGATTTGCAGTTAGTTTCTCATGGATTTTGTTAGTAGTTTGAGATTTATGTCATGCAGACAGGGTGTTTGAATGTGCAATTTAAAAGTGGTGATATTACCACCACATAATAAATAGTCTCAAACTCATTTTTATAAGTTATTAATAGTTAAGCAGCACCGTAAGAGTTTGAGATAAAAATACCAAGGGTGTGTTTGGGATTGCTTATTTGAAACAACACATGTTTTTCTACAAAAGTCTTTATCAACTTATTATAAGTTAGAATAGTTTAATTTTTTTTTAACTCTTTATTATCGGTTTGGCATCGGTGTAAGCTGTTTATCCAAACACTCAAGATTGTTTATTATCAGTGTCACGTCGGAATAAGTCAATAAGTTGTTTTTATAAACAATCCAAACACCCCCTAAATATCATGAAAAGGTATAAAGAGAGAATATGTGAATCAATCAAAAAATTCATATACAGATACATACCTAAACCCATATGAATATTCTTATAACATCGGTTTATATATATTTAAATATATTTTTCAATAGATTCATATGTGAATCTTTCTTTAATCTTTCAATCTCATAATTTTTAATCTTCTTATTTAAACCGGCTCCTAATGTAGTAAATTATCATTTAATTTAAAAATTAGTTTTGTTGCAACAATCTTATGCTTATTGTTTTAAATTTGATTATAAATCCAAAGATTGGATAAGCACTTCAAATTGTAATAATCAGATTTACGGTGTATTTTAAACACTGTCATTTTTTATCAGTGTATGTTATTAAATATACGAAATAATAATTTACTTTCACAAATTCTTTTATTATAACATAGTGGGAGTATTTATCTATACTATATTATAAAGCATTTGACTAAAACTCTTAAACTCTTAAAACTCTTAAACTCTTAAAAACTCTTAAACCGGTTCATCCCTATCCG